CGTTGAACCACTCGTACGCCGGCCCCTCAAGAGTGGAGAGGAACCAACGACAGAGATATTCATCCGACGCGTTTACCATCAGCATGTTGTTCTGATAACGGCTGAAGTGCTCCTGGGGGTCTGATCGGCCGTCGTAGGACTTGATGGCGTTTCCCTTGTACTTCTTCGGGATGGGGGCCGAGAGCACCCTGTTAGTGAAAGGGGTCCTGGTCCTGACCTGGATGACGGGGTCACCTCACCCTTCGGCCAACTCCCTCTCAAGGGCGCTGACCTTGTTCATGAGAGCGTTGAGGCCAGGATCGTTGGAGGCGCCGGCCGTGGGGATGTTTGCCGATTGCCTGAACTCCATTTGGGCCAGCCTCCTTTCCAGCTGGGCGATGACCTCGTCCCGAGGATCCCTGGCGGCTGCAGCGGCGCCCTGCTGGTTCTGCATGCGCCCCTCGTGGGCCGCGTTGATCTGGTGGCGCACGTCGTCCTCGTGCAACTTTCCCTTGCACTTGTCCAGGCGGGGCTGGTCCGCTGTCCGGGACACCGACCCCAAGCTTTCTCTTGGTGAGCCAGGCCGACGCTCACCAATCCGTCCCGCCATCCTCTCCGAAACCGGACGACGGCGCGTGTCACCCAGCCTATTGAAGGCAGAGGCTTTTCCACGCGCTGGGGTCTGCCCAAGCCGAAGAGGGGAAGCGGGGTGGGAGTGGGACGACGCCGCGTCCTGGGCTATCACCCCCTCATCGTTGCTTAACCTTGTGGCCAACTGTTGGGTCTGAGGAGGTGGGGTGACGTTCCCCCCAGTCCTTGGCAAGAGTGAGCTGAGGACGGTGGGGTTCTGGTCCAAGCTGGCAATGATGACCGACAATGCGGCCTGAACCTGTGGATCTACAGACGGGGAAGCCGCGGCCATAGGCTGGTCCGGGGCGTGGTCTGTCTTCTCTGCACGCTTCTTGTCCAGGCTGATGCGGGCATCGGGGGCGCCGCCGTTGAGTTGGTTGTGTAGGTCCGTCGTGAGGTTGATGGCTTCCTGGAAGACGTCCCCTCCTCCGACCTGGTCGGCCGTGGCGTCCTCCTCACGCTCCCTTGTCTCCTGATTCTCAGGGATGGCCTTGCTGACGAGGTTGCGGTTTGACTTGGTTCTTCCCATGATCAGTGGTTAGTTGTGCTTGGTAGCGACGAAGGGTGCTAACTTGATTGTTCTGGCTCTCAATGAAAGCACCAAATGATAGAGTATATTCTAGAGAGAAGTGAGAGCTAGAGAGAGAAGTGCAAGTAAATGCTTCAATAGAATGATTTTGTAACCCCTACAACTACCTCCAGAGGAAGTATTTATAGGAAAAATACGGGCTGGGCTCCCAAGCCTTGGGCTTGGGAGACCCATTTACAATTGGACCGCTATTGGGCCGAATACAATGTGTGTAGAAACGATTAAGTGTAAGATTTGGTTCTGTGAGGCTTCCATGGCCGACGAGGGTCTGGCCGACGAGGGCACGGCCGATGAGGGCACGGCCGACGGGGACACCCTAGTTCCCTGGCTTCAGGGTCATATTCCGAGTCGGTCTCTCTTCGGCCGACGAGGGGTCCTTTGTCCGACGAGGGCATCAATTGGTGGCTTGTACTTTCTGTTCTTCTGAGTATGTGGGTCCTGGGGCCTAGACCCTTATACTCCATCAAATGTTTTTCCAAAAATATGACATTATTATTCACATTTTTGTTCATATGAAAAATGGTCACTTATTTGGAATTTTGCTTGAATGTAGTTCATATTCAAGCCACTTTTGGGAATCGGATTTAATGTAGGAAAAACGCCAAAAAATTCGTTAAAGATCAACTACTGCTTTTAGGCACACCAAATCATATGATAACTTTATACTTTTCCTTAATATTATTATTATTGTTATTGTTGCATAATTCATTCAAAAAGGGCAATATTTAATTTGTTATTCACATTTGTACCATGGATCACATCCATGACCCAAAGAGTCATTTTAAGTAAAGTCCATCAATGGGATCGGCCCATCAATGGGATCGGCCCATTAATCGGGATTAATAATTAATAATTAATAATAGCTACTAGGTCTAACTAGGATCCTAACCCGCGAAAGTAACCCACAACCAGACCAGGCTGGACACAGACATCGGGCCTGGGCGGAGTTCTAGCGAGGTCGGACTGGTCCTAGGGCTTACGTGACAGTCTATCATTTGGATATAGCTATCTGGCAGCGGCAAAAAATAACGGAAGAAACGTGGACCTGTAAACACAATGATCGCACAACGTTCGAGACGTAACAAGACTTTTATTATGATTAATTACATTAAATGTATCAATTTCCTCTTTGAATACTAGAACCTAAGGTCTATAATACTTTATGTAATAATACTTTATTACAATTTCTTACTTTATCTAAACAAAACTAATTAAACCACAAAAATCACCTTTGAATATTTGAATGAGGGAAATTTAATTGTACAAAGTATTTTTTAAAATAAATTATTAATACATTGATAAAACAAAACATAATAATAGTAGGACATGTGAATCGTGTAAAATTGTTAATGTTACAATTATTTAAGAACGAAAATACTATATATGGTCGTATAAATAGAAAATGACTTTTAAGTGTGTGTGTGGATGAGCCAAACAACTACATTAGGAGGGAAAATTGCAATTAAGATTTCTAATGTTACAATTATCCATTGTTTTTTTACTGCTGTAAGACTCTTGCATTAAGATTGGATGATAGGAGGTCTGCTTTGACTGTCTTTGGCTCATTTTTGGCCATTATAGGATCATTGCGTCATATAGCTTCTTTGAAGGTGATTGACTTTGAATATGATTCAATGACCAATGATTGTTTGTGGTGTTTTTGTCTGTTTACTGTCTATCCGAATGTTCTGATATCAATTTAAATGGTGTACTTCGTACTATTTTACTCACTTCGGATTTAATATAAAATTGGTGTTATACATAGGGTTGTAAACGAACCGAATCGAGTCGAATAATGAGATTTTGTATTTGTATTTGTTTATTTTTTTCGAATACGAATTCAAATTCAAATATGGAACGAATATTAATTTCGATTTGTATTTGTATTTGTTTAACAATACGAATAGTTAACGAATCATATAAGAATATCGAACCGATTTGAACATAGGTTAACTATTAGTCAAATATCACTCTAAAATAACTTTTCTTATATTTCGTATATTTATGTTATAAATGCATGTTATGACTTAATATGTGTTTTTAGAATTTAAATTTAATGGATCAATGCATTTTTAAATTGACTAATGGGCTTTTGATTTCCAAATGTATGACTCTTTTGATATATTCCAAAAAAGTGACCCGTTGCCCTTCTCTTTCTTCCTTCGACGCAAGCAATCAACGCACCACCGCCGCAAGACCATTTTGCATCTCACGGGCCGGCATCTTCACAGCACCACTGCCGCGTCGCGCACCACCACCGCAGTGTCCCGCACCATCAACGCACCTGCCTTTCCCCAATCCAAAGCTCCGCCTTCTCTCTTCGCTTTCTCTTTGCGCAGGTTCTCCTTCCCTTCCCCAATCCACAAAGCCCCGCCTTCTATTTGCGCCTTCACTCTTCTCCGCTCCTCCAACGACCATACTGTTCTTCGCCGTTGTTGAGGACTGACATCCTAAGGAGCATTTCATCGTCGTCCTCGATGGATCCTCGAACTGTAAGATTTCCAGATCTAGGTTGGGCTGGTGATGGGGGCTGCGAGGCTGGAAGGTGAGGAGGCGGGCTACGAGGGGCTAGGGCAGGGGAGCGGGCTGCGAGGGGCTAGGGCAGGGGAGGGGCTGGAGTGAGACTGTGGGTTGTGGCTAAGTCTTGGAGGGGGCAGGGGCTGGGGCTGATGAATCAAGTCACTGTATAGTAGGACGTTTATTGGCAGCAGTGGTTGGGTACAGTGGTGGTGTTGGTCACTACGCGGTGACTTGTGCCCTGCCGGACTGGTGGCCGCGACTGTGGCGGGGAGGAGCAGTGCCGCAATGGGGAGGGCGCAGGTGTGGGGCTGCGGCGGTGGCAGTGCTGCACATTGGGCGTATGGTAGTCATTGATTTGAGGGTGATTTTGGGGTGCTCGAATGTGGGGATGGGCAGGCCGGGAGCGACTGTCACTGACCGGGGGGCGGCAATTACTGGGTGAGGGTGGCGGCAGTCATTGGCATGGCGGCAGTCACTGTGGCTGGAGCAAGTCACTGAGCGGCGGTCACTATGGCCGGAGCAAGTCACTAAGCGGCGGTCACTATGACCGGAGCAAGTCACTAAGCAGCGGTCACTATGGCCGAAGCAAGTCACCGGGCGATGGTGCCGCAAGACTGCTGGCACGCCGGTGGTAACGATGGTGTGGATGGCCAGAGAATTAAAACTCTTTCCTATTTCTTTCCTTGATGTGTAATGGACTGAAGTGTAATAGATGGTAGTCATATTTTTGGACTTTTGAAACTTAACTCACTTTATTGGAAATCCTTAAATTAATAGTAATATTTGAATAAAAAGGCCTAATATAAATCTATTTCAAACTTTTTGAAATAAACACTAACACTCACATATTAGAAAGTATACTTATAATGTGAGAAATAAGTTGATAATTGTATATATCAAAGTCAAACAACTCTAATTTTATTCTTCAAATCAAATACATAATTATTTGTATTGTATTTGAAAGACATTTTTGAACCAAAAATTGATTTGTATTCATATTTATATTTGTTTTATTACGAATGAGCTTGGAATCTGTATGCAAAAGTGTATATATGAGCTACACTTTGAGGGTATTGTTATCTTTTAAAAGTTATTACAGTATTATTACTATTATTATTAATATTGACATTAATATTACCATTATTATTAATCGAATATATTTGATTAATATTCGAATCGAATACACTGATATTCGTATTTGTATTTTATAACAACTCAAATCAAATTTAATATTCTTATTTGTATTTATATAGTATTCTTTCCTACTCCAAACAAGAACGTCTCCCAACACAGTTCTTCCCCTGGTAAAACACAAACGAACGAGTTTTATAGCAAAAACAAATCATACGTAGTACTTGCGAATTTAGAAGGGTGCCATTATTGTAAGCTCTTTGATTATCTGAGGTCAGGCGTTTCATTTTTCTCGGAGCCCCAGCTCTCTACGCCGACGTAGAGTCGCCTTGACGGATACCGCACACGGCGTTTCCCCGCCCTCTTCCGCCGGGACTTCTTGAAGCATACCCCTTTTCTTTCTTTCATGATTGAGATCACTGCCCATCTCCATCACCAAGACAAGTCGTTAACCTCCTCCTTCCTAGGGGTTTTCTTCCTCTTTGCTAAAACCCTTCCATCGCTCTCCTTAAGCGTTTCGCAGCAAGATATGGAATCATAGAAGGAAAAATCGCAAATGGAAATTAGAAGGATGATAGATAAATCGAATAAACGGAAAAAATGCTTCGTCAGTGAAGAAGATACCTCTACTCTTCTAGAAAGGTACTGCCTATCCCCTGGTTTCTGTCCTTTTTGTCGGTTAAAAATTCACAATTTGCGGGTTTTATCGATTTTTTTGGGGGCGGGTTGAAGGTATACCGCGACATCTGTGCTGGCATTGTTGCAAGAGGTGGCACAGGTGCCAGATGTGAAGATCGATTGGAATGCGTTGGTGAAGAAGACCACCACTGGAATTACAAATGCTAGGGAGTACCAGTTGCTGTGGCGTCATTTGGCATATCGCCATGGATTAGTTGATAGACTGGATGATAGTGCTCTACCTCTGGTTAGTAATTTGGGTGTATTTACAGAGATCAGTTGATTACTTGTACTTTAACAACCATCTAGAAGATTGCTGTAATGCTGTGCATTTTTGCATTAGATTTTTTGAAGATTACTGACATCTGAGCACTTCTTGATTTTAGCGCATTTGAACTTGTAGCCTGACATAGGAAATTTCGAGTCTTTTGTTAATATGGGCCTTGGATGCATATGACATTGTTACTGGTGTGAATGGATCTCATAAATTTGGGCAAGTTAAATGCATATTTTTTCCACAAGTTGTGCACCTTTCAATTCCTTTTTCCCATTGGTTTACTTTTTAGTCTACAATGTTGCAATATATTTTTTGACCTAAGTTCTTCTCATCAATCATTCACTAATGTATCCTGTGCAATGTCTAGCTTAGAAAGTGTATGAGAGAAATATATGGAAGCATACAACTGATGCAAGTCAAAAAACTAAGAGCATCTCTATATGATGCCAAAACTTTTGATTATCTGCACACACCTAAGATGTCATTGCCAAAACTCTTGAAGCTTCCTAAAGCATATATGATGTGACTTATTTCAAGGTGTAAAAAACTTGAAAAGTACTTGGAACCTTATGTTGCATGACTTGTATCTCTTAAGTGCTGATCAAAGTTTGGTTTGGATCTTTTCTACTTGGAATTTGTTTGCATCGATTTACTATGTTTGGTTGTTTTGTTCTTGGTGTAGATTTTTCTAGATGTTTGATAGTGTTGACCAATTTGGATTGGATGGCAGGATGATGATAGTGATTTAGAATATGAATTGGAAGCAAGTCCAGCAGTTACCAGTGAAGCCTCAGCAGAGGCCGCAGCCTGTGTAAAGGTAATCCAAATTATAATCCCATGGATGCATTATAATGATTGCTTTTATCTACATTTTCATACCTTTAATTTGATCTTTGAATAAAAACTAAAGCATTTTTGAAAACATGATGGGCGTTTAAATTGGGCATGTATAGGTCTTCATTGCTTCTGGGATGCCAAGTGAGTCCTGTTTGTCAAATGGTACGACTGTTGAAGCTCCACTGACCATAAGTATTCCCATTGCCCAAGCATGTAGTAGGAACCCTTCAGATATTTCATGCCAAAGTATCTCCATGCAAGGAACAAATATCATTATTCCAGTTTCTGTGCAAGTACAGCCACTTCCTAATGTCACAACAGCTGAAGGATTAGATACTAATGGATCATTGAATACAAACTTGCCTCCTCGACGTAAAAGAAAACCGTGGTCTGAGGCAGAGGACTTGGAACTTATTGCTGCAGTTCAAAAGTGTGGTGAAGGGAATTGGGCAAACATTCTTAAAGGGGATTTTAAGGGTGACAGAACGGCTTCTCAGCTTTCACAGGTTCCCTTGCTTGATTTATGTATTTGTTCTTTCTTATTGATGGTTTTCAACTGTAGAGAACTCATTATTTTTATGTGTGTGGAGGTGTGTGCATGTGATTTTCTTTGCATCTTTCAGAATTTCTATTTTAAACCCCTTGCTTTATCATTACTCATGCATACCCACATTAGCTAGATTCATTTACACTATGTCACTGTCGCCTAAGTAATTTTCCTTTACATTTACTGTATGTTATCATTACCTTCCATTTACAATGAGATATGTTCTCCAATAACAATTACGAAAACCCAATATAGGCCTTGTTTGGCAATCAACAATAGCAGTTACCCGATAATGGACTGTGGACAGTGACATAGTCTAAACGTGACATTATTATGATTACTAATGGTTTTGTGGCAATACGACTGTATATTTAGTACTCCCTGTGGTCACACTTAGTCTAATGCATAGACTATTCACATAATCAAGGAGTAGAATTGCAGGGTTAGTGAATTGTGTGGAATAGGTGAAAACATGGGAGAGACCGAGAGAGTAGTTGAAATAGTAAAAGTAGTAAAGAGAAGATGAACAAGTAAGGATATTTATGTCTTTTGATATGATAGTAGGCAAAATGGAAATGGGGGCAAGTACTAATGAATTAACTTTCTTAAAAGGAATATGGAGCTACTAAAAATATATAGAAGCAGTATTGTTATTGGTTACTGTGAATGACATATTGAAAAAGCTTTTTCTACTTTCGAATGAACATGCAATGCGCATTAAAATCTTAAGTGGTAGGATTATGAAGATTTAAAAGTCTCTTATAAATGCGGAAACAATCTGCTAGATAAAAATCTATTGCAGTTAGCTTTTTCTGTTTCTGTGGTTTGAGCCCTAACTACCAAATTAATTTGATAATTGCTAAGCACGTCTTTAGAGATTTGGTCTCGTCAAACCACTAAAATTGGTCAAATCCGCCAAAAGTGGTGGATCCACCATTTACAAGCCCGTGAGAGTCTTTATTTCGAACTCAATGGGATCGGAAACATGGTTTTGCACTTATCTAGTCATGTACTCTTGTGCCCCCAATGCGTAAATGTTCCTTATTACACCAATGATATTCTAACACTCCACTGTATATTGGAGCACTTGTCTCTTTAATATTTTCCTTTGGTCTTAGAAACATGTTATGGCCCCATTATAGTCTTCTTGAAATAGTTCTGCTTTACTGATGCATAAAAAACACATTCAGCATGCATTAGTAAGAGAAGTATTGGTCATTTGAGTACTGTAATAAGAAACCCTGACTAATCAATGTTCAGTAATAACATTGGTCTTTTTAGAGTTGCTGAAATTATCATTTTGGCTTACCCATCGCTGTTGCTAAACCATTCAAATTTATTACTTTGGCATCCACTTTCAAGTTTCAACTGTTAACTCTATTATACACATTAGAAGCATGTTAATTAAAGATTTGTTTACAGGTAACTTATGAATGTCCGTTGTTATTTTGTATGGTTAAAATGTCTGGGTCTTGCCCAGGTTTCCCGGGTTCAAATCCCGGCAACGGATCAGAATTTCATAATGCAAGCTTTCTCTTTTCCCCCATGAAAGACATTTTTAATGTGAACATGATTATCATCACCAAGATTCATTTTCTCATATTGTATGACTCATATAATAACCATGTTATTTACTGTAGCTTATTTGTTTGTTTACATTGTTATTTGATTTGTTTCAATTTGTACAGAGGTGGGCCATTATTAGGAAGCGGCAAGGCACCACGGTTGGGAACAACAGCTCTCAACTTTCAGAGGCTCAATTAGCAGCTCGCCGGGCAATGTCTCTGGCTCTGGATATGCCAATAGGCGATAGTCTTAAAGCTGCTTGTTCAATCAGTAGTGGTAATTCTCCACATTGACTAAGATTTCTTACAAAATTGACTCACCCATATAGCTTGATCGAACTTGTGAAAATATCTGTGTAATCCATTTAGTATTATTCAAAGAGCAGGGTCAAATGCTGCTAATGGTAAACATCCCGCTGCTGCTGCTAATGGTAAACCTCCTGCTGCTACTGCTAATGGTAAGCCTCCTGCTCAACAAGAACCTGCAATAGTGGCACAGAAACCAGGAATGGTGGTAATCCAAAAACCACGGGTTCTCTCAAAACCAACAACTCCAAGCCCAGACTCAATGGTTAAAGCAGCCGCAGTTGCCGCTGGGGCCCGCATTGCTACCCCTTCGGATGCCGCATCCTTGCTTAAGGCTGCACAGTCTAAGAATGCCGTCCGGATAATGCCTAGTGGAGGAGGAACACAGTTGGTCAAACCATCCGGCCCAAACGCATTGCCAAGTAACGTGCACTTCATTCGTACCGGCTTGCTGTCCCATTCTAAAACAATGCCAAACGCCACACGGACTGGCAAACCTGCATATCTGCCTGTTGGCCAGACAAATTCAGCCACCAGTACCACTGTCTCGGGACCTAAAACTTCAGCTGAGGTGTCAAACGGTATAAACCCGAAAAACGTTGAAGATTCAGCTATTACCACCTCCAATGTGGTGCCTAACGGCTCAAGCTCTACTCGTGTAGCCGTGATTGACTCCAAAACTGTTGGAGATTCACTCATCCCTGCCTTAGGAAACGTGACGGAAAAGCCCATTGAAGAAATCCGGGCACTGAATCATTGTAATGGTTCTGAAGACAAAAACAAAGCTGTTTCTGCTTCATCTTCAATTAGTGGCACTGCCAGTGTCTGTGTTCAAGAAAAGCGAATTGACACATCATCAAGGAGTGATGACAATGATGGGAAGCAGGGTGAGGTTGAGTGTAAAAGCACAGTTGAGAACCATGTTGGTGAAAACCAGACTGCAGATGTAAATCAAAAACATACATCACCGAGTATGGATGTGGATGAGAAGGTGGTGACTTAATCCCTAAAATTGTATGTATTGTTTGATTCTTAACCCCTCTTCGTTACCCATCAAAACTTTCCTTTCCCCTTGCCACCTCTCTCTTTTGTTCACCGTTTTTGGATCATGTGTAGTTATAACTAAGAACACTGTGTTTTACCTGTAGCCCACTAGGCCCTCATCTCCCTTTGTAAACAAAGAGCCGATTTGTCGTTACCCTCACTTACCTGATTATATTTCATATGTTAGTGAATGAGGTAGGCCCTGCCTTGTTGATACTGTTGGCTTGAGTTTACTTTGGACTTCGGAGTTCGGATACACTGATGGAAAATATCATATACTCCTTGTGTGATTTTGTTTATCGGGTATCCCTCCAATATCACTGAAATAGCATATAGGTACAAAAAGTGACTTAGAAATAGGGGTGGATTCGGTTCGGGCCACCCGGCCCGTGACCTGGCCCGGCCCGCTACTGTGCGGGCCCGGGACCGGCCTGGTCTGGCGGTCCGGGACTGGGTGTAGACCCGAACCGGTGGGGATGGGCGGGGCGTGCTCGGTTCCGGAAATAGTTGACCCGGCCCGGCCGGGTCGGGCCTGGGTCCGGGTCCAACGGTCACTTTTCAAAAAAAAATGTTTTGGGCAAAAATAGCCGTTGGGGGGTGGGCTGTAGGGGGGTTCGGGGGGTTTGAGGGGTGGGGGTGGGGGTGGGGTAAAAAACCTATAAATACTCCTAATCTAAAACATTTTTTCATATCTCTTCTCCAATTCTTCCTAAATCCTATTCTTAACTCTCTACTCTCTAATTCTCTTATTCTCCAATATATTATATTTATTATTTATATATCTACTTTATATTAATTATCTACTTATAATTTATAAATACATACATTATAATATTATATTACTTATATTTGTTATCTAATTATATATTACTTATACATTTATTATATCTATTAATAACGCAATGTAGAACGAAGTTGAGCGCAGAATCTCTTGAGATGCTTATATGCTACCACGATTGATTGAAAGTGGCTCGTAGAGCTCAAGAAATTGATATCACCACATCCCAACACTTTATGGATGAATCTACAACCGAAGGTGGCTCTACCTATGCCGGAGATTCCGATTGAATGATTGATTAGTATTTCATGTTTTAATTTTACCTTCAATTCTCAATTGTAACTTGTAAACTTGTAGTTCATATTTCAAATAAATATACGTTTATTTTTTTATATGTAGCATTTTTTTTGAATTCATAAAATTAATTAATTAATTTTACATTATGTAATTTATTCAAAATAAAACATACAAAAAAATTGAAATCAAAAGCCCCAAACGGCTCTATTGAAATTTGAATCAATAGAGGCATAGAGCCGTTGGGGGTGGGGGTGGGTGGGGGTACAAAAAATTCTATAAATACTCTTATTTTCTAACATTTTTATACACATCTTCTCGAACATCCAATCTCTAATCTCCATTCTCCAATCTCCATCTTCATCTCCATCTATTGTAGAATTATTATATCTACCATTTTTAAGATGGAAAGTCAAGATGCTGTTATACGGTACTCCCTCCGTTCCAAAATTATCTTCATAGTTACTATTCACACGGTCAACTCAAATTACTCTTAAACTTTTACTTTATATATCAATTTTTTATCAAACTTAAATTTTCTTGATCAGCCTTTGTAGTGGATTTAATGTAGTTTCTGAATATGTAAATTTAATTTACGAAAAATAATCTGAGTGTGAATAGGGATCAAGTTGTTTTATCGTCTGTCAAGCATCGTAAACCGAACTACGAAGATAAATATGGGACGGAGGGAATATAATTTTGATAAGCAGAAGGACCCGAAGATCGGGATGTGGTACGCAACTTGCAAATGGTGCGGGAAAAAATGTAGCATGGGGGTTTCAGGCGGATACGGGATGGCAATGAAGCATATTAAGTCATGTGACAAAGCCAAAGGATCGGGAGGTGCGGGAAGTTCCGATTGATTACAATTTACAAAATGTATGTCTCTTGAAGTTTGTTTTAATTTTCAAATGTAGTTCTATTTCATTTCAAATAAATGCACTTGAAGTTTATTTTTAATACTTGTATAAAACTATAAAGTATAAATTATAAAAAAAAATTACTTTAACCGGCCCGGCCCAGACAGGCGGGTGGCCCGGCCCGAACCGGACCCGTCCAACCCTCGGGCCGATCCCGGGTCCATGAGATACAAACCGGCGGCCCGACCCGGCCGAGTCCACCTCTACTTAGAAACATTCTTAATCTTAATGATAGACTACTTATGGCATTCTTGTATGTTACTGACATCTTAAATTACACATCTCAATTCTCAATGTATAAACTACAACTATGTAAGGGTAAAAACCAGGCTCGGTTGTGGGAACCAAATCATAATCAGGAAATCGAAAACCTCACTTGTTTAGTACCCTTTCCGTCTCTTGTAACTTTATCAACTTTACTTTTTTGGATGTCCCACTAACTATGTTATTGCTAGTTATTTATGTTTTGTACTATTATAGTTTATAAGAAATTCCTTAACAATGTAATACTACCTCTGTCCCAAAAAACTTTTCGTTTTCAAAACTTGCACTAATTATATTTTTTTATTGAGAATTATTTATAATATAAAAATTATATGAACATGTTCTTTGTTAAAAATACTTTCATTATATAAAAGTAAAATTTTTATAACTTCCATAATATTATACTAATCAAAATCATGGTTCAAATTTTTTGAAATGACAAAGTTTTTTAGGACGGGGGTAGTATGAAAATTGATAATTGTTTGGCATTGGTATGGCATGGTACCAGACCGTTTGAAAATGGAACCGAACCGAACGGGTTTAGGTCTAAGACAGAACCGAACCAAACCGTTTCAATAGTAACGGTCCGGGTACGGGTTCGGTAAAATATTGGACCGGACCGGATTGCGCCCACCCCTATCAAAACATCAAACAGGATGGTGACAAGCATATTGATGACTACACCCAAATTATTTTGCTCAATGCCATTCCTGATTCTTGTAGTGATGTCAAATCTGCCATCAAGTATGGTAGAGATGATGTTACTTTAGATATTGTGGTTAATGGCTTAAAAAGTAAATAACTTGATTTGAAACAAAATAGGGGTCATGGCAATCAGTCTAGTGATTCTGGTGAGGTCTTGTTTGTGAGGGGTAGGTCTAAGAATAGATCTAAGAACTCCAAGAAGGAAAATCAAGATAAGAATAATCAGAAGCCTAGTAAGAAGAGAGGTAAGTCTAAGAAAAGGGTCTGTTACAATTGTGGTAAGTCTGACCATTTCATAAAGGACTGTCCCAGTCCTAAAAAGTCTGACCAGGCCAACTCTGTTGTCTCTAATGATATACATGATGATGTGTTTATAGTGTATGACTTTGCAAATTCTGTACTAAGTGGCTTAACAGAAAATGAATGGCTTATTGACTCTAGTTGCACTTATCATATGACTCCTTTTAAATCTTTGTTTTCTTCCTATGATCTATGTGATGATGGTTATGTGTCTTTAGCTGATAGTAAGAAATGCAAAGTGCATGAGGTGGGGAACATATGTTTGAAGTTTGATAATGGGACTGTGTACACTGTGAAAAATGTGAGGCATGTTTCAGATCTGTGTCATAATCTGTTTTCTGTTGCTGCTTTTGAGGATAGTGGGTTAGAGAGAAAATGGGGTAATGGTTGCATGAAGGTTTTGAAAAATTCCTTGCTTATGTTCAAAGCATTGAAGGTGAATAATCTGTATGTGTGCCATGCTGTTCCATTCTCTGATTCTGCCAATGCTGTTTGTCTTGATAGCTTTGTGTTGTGGCATACTAGGCTAGGTCACATGAGTAATAAGGGTCTAGAAATCATGCATAAATCAGGTTACTTTGGTAAAGATTGTGCGTCTTCTGTGCCTTTCTGTGAAGCATGTGTGCTTGGTAAGCATCATAGGGTCAGTTTCCCTAGTTCCTCCTTTCCAAACCTGTCTAAGTGTACATCTGCCTTAGAATATGTCCATGCTGATGTCTGGGGCCCTGCCAGTATCTCTACCCATGGTGGTAACAGATACTTCCTATCTATTATAGATGATTTCTCTAGGAAAGTTTGGGTTTGTCTCTTACAGAATAAGTCTGATGTTTTTGAGAAGTTTAAGGAGTGGAAAACCCTAGTTGAAACCCAATCTGATCTTAAAGTTAAAGCCCTTAGAACTGATAATGGACTAGAGTTCTGTAATAGGGAGATGAATCAACTGTGTGTTGATTGGGGAATAAAAAGGCACAAAATTGTGCCCTATACTCCCCAGCAGAATGGTGTAGCTCTGGTCTGTCTAAGCAATTCTGGGGTGAAGCAGTTAACACTGCTGCCTGTTTGGTAAATAGATCCCCTTCTGTTCCTCTAGGAGGAAAGTGTCATGAGTCAGTTTACTCTGGAAAGCCCCTAGACTTGTCCAACCTTAGAGTGTTTGATTGTGCTGCCTATGTTCAGCAGCAGCTGGATAAGCTAGATCCTAGGTCTAAGAAGTGTGTCTTTCTAAGGTATCATGAGGGGGTAAAAGGTTATACGTTGTGAGATAGAAACCAGGTGGGTTTTAAGGTAGTAATCAGTAGGGATGTAATTTTCTATGAGTCTGAATTCCCCTGTCTGTCTAGTCCTACCACAAAACTAAGTTCTGAGAGTGTTCAGTCTGAGGTGGAGTCTATTCCTGTTGCTACCATTCCATTATTTGACAATGTTAATGATTCTGATGCTAACCTGCATGGTACCACCCTTTCGAGTGGGGTGGAGTCTTCTCATGATTCTGATTTACATAATAATACTGAACAACATGATTCTATGGAGCATGATATACCAAATTTGCATAACTATCAACTTGTTAGAGATAGGGGTAGAAGGACTGATAAAAAGGTGTCTGATTCTATGTCTGATTACGCTTTTCATGTGCATGATACCTCCCTATTTTCTTACTCTGTGTTTGAGACCCTTGAGTTAAATGAGCCCAAAACTTATAAGGAAGCCCTTACTTCTAAGGAGTCCCAGAAGTGGCTTGATGCCATGAATAGTGAGATGGAGTCTCTTAGAGTTAACAAAATCTGGACCTTGGTCCTTAGACCTCCCAATTGTTCTGTTGTAGAATGCAAGTGGTTGTTTAAGGTCAAGGAAGAACCTCAGAGTGTGAGATTTAAGGCTAGGTTAGTGGCAAAAGGGTTTACTCAAAAAGAGTGGGTAGATTATGCTGAAATTTTTGCTCCTGTGGTTAAGTTTACTACAGTTAGGATCATGCTTGCTTTAGTTGCTCACTTTAATTGGGAAATGAAACA